TAATTAATGTATGTATGTAATCAATGTATGTATGTAATTAATGTATGTATGTAATTAATGTATGTATGTAATTAATGTATGTATGTAATTAATGTATGTATGTAATTAATGTATGTATGAAATCAATGTATGTATGTAATTAATGTATGTATGTATGTTTGTATGTATGTATATGTATGTATGTATTTTTGTTAGTTATGTATGTTGTGTTATGTTATGTATGTAATGTAATGTAATGTTATGTAATGTAATGTATGTATGTACAAATATATATGATATATATGTATGTACAATATATATATATATAAATATGATATATACGCATGAAATTACATATTTACATATGTATTCACTTTCCCCGAAACTTTCCCTGCCTTGAAACACTACATCTGCACAGGTGGAACGGTTCTTGGACAGCACTGGAGGCGATGGCTCGGACCATGCCCTTTGGCTTGATCCGCCCGAAGAACACCATGGTGGATGGGGATGAAACTACTATGGATGGGATCGCTGTTTAATGGTGTTTAATGCTGTTTTAGGGCTAAGATGACCTAATTTTGAAGCAGTTGCATTGCCTGCATTGCCTTGACGAGGGCTTGATGGATGCCAAGACCGACCAGTTGCTTCGTCTCTCGGTGGAAATTTACTCTGGGGGATTCATCACCAAAAAAAAATCCCAGAAATTTTGGAGGATTTTGACCTGAGGAAAAACCGGGAGATTTTCTATGGATTAATATGGATTCATCCCATGGATTCTGCTGGATTCTGCCACCGCAACTACCATGATGGCGATCAGATCACGGCTTGGAGCCCCGTGCTTTTTATAGCTGAGGCATGATGGCAAAAAAGGCCACCACTCGAGGATTCTGGATCCAAGAGACGGACGAGGCATGAGACAAACTGCTGTGAGTGGCAACTGGGTAGTTCCCCCATTGCTTTGGTTCCATGGTGAAAGCCGGCCTTCTCCGTTGCGAGTCCTTCCATCCGTTGGACGGCAACCTGCCCCGAGAAGGCAAGAGTGGCAGGACCCGGATTCCCACTGAAAGGATGAAATGATTCGTGCAATAGCATGCAATAGCTATGTTAGTTTAGCAATGATTAGCCCTATTTTTGTCATTGGCAGGGAGGAGAGGCCACAAGATTTTGAGGCGAGGTCAGTCTCCGCTGGTGGAATCCTGAGGATGGCTCCGCCCACCCCGCCGCATCGGGTGAAGACTGACACGGTGGAACACACCATGAAGGCGCGCTGTGGCTGGGGGAACTATGGTTGAAATCACTGGGATGACTGGATTCCTTGCGCTGTGCCGGGCTTCTGAATCCTATTGCAAACATTACTGGGGGTTTTCCAGCAGGTGGGGGAAGGGTCAACAGATAGAATGATGCCTACAATACTGCCAAATCTGCAAAGATGAACAGTGTGTGCCTCGCTCAAAACCTAGACCTCTAGCCATATGAAAGGGGATGGTTCCCAATTTTCGGCAAAAAATGGATGGGTTTTCATTTGGCAGTGTGTCAAAACCTTGTACCCCTGGTGAACATCAAAATAGCTGGTAAATGGATGTTCATCCCCCTAAAAATGGTATTAATAGGTATTGATTCATAGCCATTTGACTTCCCATGGTGCACCCCCAGCGACGCCTCAGGCTTTGGTGAAACAGCTGGGCGTTTTGGCAGGTGACATCCAGAAGTGGCAACTCCTGATCGATTGGGAGCCCTGGAACGATGATGATTTGCTGGTCTAAGCCCCAAATATTCCAACAGCAATATCTGGTATATCTCTGGTTGACCTGGATTTTATTGGATGCCGGTATTGCAAATTTGAGATGTTTCCTCGGAAAGCCTGACATTTTGCATGCGAAGCTTGGACACCTAAAGTTTAAAAACCCGCGAATTGAATACCTTTGCGATGCATTTGAAATCCTTTGAAATCGTGCATGGAAACTTGGGAACCTGTGGGTGCAGACGACCAGCTTCCCCCGATATGGCAGAAGAACGCAAGCATTCGTTGGGAAAACATGTGGATTTTCTGCCAGGTTGAACAACTACAAGACAAGATAGCTGCAGCACACACCCATACGTCTGGCTAGTGGTTACAAACATTTTTTTTTCAAATTTTGGACCCTATTTTGGATACCCTCTGGTAATTTAACATAGCTATGGAAAATGGCCCATTTATAGTTGATTTACCATTAAAGATGTTGATTTTCCAGTTTGCTATGTTAAATTAACAGAGGGTAATGATCCCCAAGTACAAATCGAGTATTTCATCCCCCAAAATCACCAGCTTTCCATAGCTTTCCGAAGCCTCGTTGTGGCTTCAGGAGCCTCGCTTTGCCAAAACCATGAAAGAATCTCTGCATGAAGCGCAACGGCTGCGGATGATGGGTCCCTTGGATCTGATGGGATGGCGTAGTCGCCTTGCAAAAACCTTCCATCTTCCTGCTAGTTCCATTTGGATCATTACTGAGACCATTATTATAATTCATGAATCATATATATATATATTCATATATAATCACATATATATATATATTCATATATAATCATATATATATAGATATAATCATATATAGATATAATCATATATAGATATATATATATATAATCATATATATATAATCATATATATATAATTATGTAATCATATATATAATAATATACTGTAGAATCAATACATATACATAAATCAAGTACATGATTATCATATGGACTATAAACCATTACATATATAATCCATATAACATCCATGACTCATCCCTCAGGTGACGAATCCGGGCACGTTCGCATGGCTTTGAAGACCGTGGAACTCATGGAGAAGATGACGCCTTCGCAACGCCTCGGCACTGCCAAGCTGAACAACACCGAGCCTGTGGATGAAAGATCGGAAACCAGGGAAGCACGGGCAACACACACATATATATATATATGGATATATATATATATTTAAAGATGATAAGAACATGATAAAATATAGAAATAGAAACTATATGAAACTATGAAATTTGAAGTTAAATTGGAAATAAAGTTGCTGGAAAGATCTATTTCGATCTTTTGGAATCAGGATCGCTCCTGCCCGAAGAGTTCTTTTGGCCCTTTGAGTTGCCAAAAGTCTGAGCACTTGTGTTGTTTGGTCTCCATTTTTTTAAAATGGCGCCCACTGAATTCATGGTATGCTCAGTGATCTCTGGCTGTGCTGAGGAATGGTATGCTCCTCGGCAGATTTAGTTTGCTGGTTTTTCGGTTTCCAGGTCGGTGTGGGTCATGGGTCGAAAAAAATCACAACCGTTTTAACTCTGGCTGCAGATTCGGTTCACTTTTTGTATTACCATCTGGTTGTTTAACATAGCGAACTGGAAAGATCCACCATTTTCAATAGGTAAACCATCTATTTCTATGGGCCATCTATACCATGGCTATGTTAGTCATAACCAGAGGGTAAGTATCCAATTCTGGAGCCCATTTTTCATAACACTGTGGATTTCACCAGAGGGCGGCTGCTGCAGGCTGTGGTCATGGCCAACAAGCAGATTGCAGACGAAATGTTTGAGACATTTCAACAAGGAGAAGTCTCAAGCTGTAAACTAGTGTTTGTTGGACAGCAGCCAACAAGGTCATTTGCTGTGGGACCACGTGACCAGTTGGTTGCTCCCGTTGTCAAGTTAAAAACCTTCAAATCCCTTTAAGGAAAATGGAAAGATGGCCATTTCATCCTCATTTTGCAGACCCAACAACACAGCTAGAGATGTTTTTTGCGGGTCGTGAACATTTTTTATGGTCTGTCCCACGTGAGAGTTTCAGCCCCGTTTCCTTATTTTGTAGACAGAACCACTGCTTTTTGAGGAGGCATGCCCAGAGATCGCTTTGAAAAACTGCTGGAGCAACACTGCAAGCGAGCCCCTAGACTGAACATACCATCAGAAATCATGTATATGTATATGTATATGTAATATGTATATGTATATGTATATGTATATGTGTATATGTATATGTATATGTATATGTGTATATGTATATGAGTGAGTATATGTATATGAGTATATGTATATGAGTATATGTATATGAGTATATGTATATGAGTATATGTATATGTGTATATGTATATGTATATGTATATGTGTATATGTATATGTGTATATGTATATGAGTATATGTATATGAGTATATGTATATGAGTATATGTATATGAGTATATGTATATGAGTATATGTATATGTATATGTATATGTATATGTATATGTATATGTATATGTATATACATATGTATATGTATATGTAAATGTATATGTATATGTATATGTATATGTATATGTATATACATATGTATATGTATATGTATATGTATATGTATATGTATATGTACGTGTGCATTTACACGTACATGTCATGTATATGTATAGGTATACATATGTATAGGTATAGGTAAAAGTGTGGGCGTAGGCATAGGTACATGTTTGCATCTGTGTATATGTCCAGGTCCACGCGCCAGGTGCAAGTGCGTGGGTATCGTGTATGATGTATATATATATATATGTCATATGTATATGGATGTATATGGTATATTGGACATGGTACATTGTGTATGGTAGATTGCAAACTGCGTATTGTATATTGTATGTGAATATGTCTATATATATGTCTATGTATGTCTGTGTCTAGGGATACGTGTACTGAAATTCTGCAGTGATGGATTATCCCAGAGTGATCCACCAGCTGTCAACATGGAGGAACCCAGGATTCCCACCAGAAATGCATCACCAGAACCGGCTCGTGCCCTACGCCGAATGATAATTTGTATCCAACCATTGGAGAGAAGTGGCTGTTGTGACTTAAGAGAAAAGAGACCTAATTTTCAAAATCATTTTCTCAGCGTTTCTTTACTTTTTGTAACCTCTGAAAACCTAAATATTTGGTGATTTCAATACATTTTCTTGTGATAAATGGGCTAGATTTCTATTTGTCACATCCTGCACTCACGGTTTGTTTCCTGCTCTTGTCCTGGGAGACCAGTTTTTTCGGCCAGGGTACGATGACCCATGGGTTTCGGCATAAATTACAGGACCTCCAAAGAAATCATATGAAATCATCACGGTAGGATACCATCGTTTCTTGCCAAATTCTCTACATGAAGTTCTCTCACCATTTCCCATCTTGAGTTGGTTCCCCCCTTGGTTGCTTTAGTTTCACCGATTTTTCTTCGCAAACTCGTCCCGTTTCCGTGTCACACGGTGGTGCTTTTTTGTTGGATTTGTTGGTTCCATAAAGCCAGACAACTATGAATATATCAATGAATACCTTATGTTCCAACAAACCATGAGTAGTTACAGGTACATGTTAGTAATAGCCTTAAATACAGCAATCACTAAAGGGATCCAACATTCAATGGGGTGCGTAGTGAGCATTGAGGTTATTCGAATGGTGGAGGGCACCCTACTTCCTATGGCCGAGCACAATCGAGACCTTGAACGGCAGGTCATGCGTTTGAGACAGAAGGCTGACTACCTGCGTGACTTTGGCAGTTGGACAAGGGCTGCGAAAAATTCGTTTTTCTTTGGGGGTGACACAACGGGGGGTGTGACCCAACATACCAAGGCATTTGATGTGATTGATACACCTGTGGGATTTTCTCAAAGACCACAGTTGCCATAGTAGAAGTTATCAAGGAACTTTCCCACAAAGTAAGCTTCTTCCTTTGTCTCCTGCCTGATCTTTCTACAGTAATGTTGCCACACTGGTGGTTTATGGGGGCAAGTCGTGGTGGGGTCTAGCAACTTTTCAGGCCCGGGTTTGCCACACATGATTGTTCTTCTGGGAAGGGGCAGGGAGGATCACTGTCACTGACTGTTGTCTTCCATTTTGTGTACGTGTATATATATATATAAATATGTACACACATATACACTGATAAACGATCTATTCAGACTTCCCGAAGTTAAGCCCGCACTTTGCATGGTACCTCCCCAATTTCTATCTCACCCCCTTTATTCTGGGATGTGCACCCAATCATCATCGTCCTGTGCCTGAGGCTACATGTACTTCTGGCTACCTGGTGCTCGTCAACATGAAGACGAAATCGTGCAAACCTATCGCAGGCTGCCAGTGTGTTCCCTAGGGAGCATGAAATCAACGCAGTCATAGCTGGTGTTGTCCACAAAAATGGAGGATCTACTCAAAAATTGAAATTCGAATAGGAAAAATCATGATAAAACCTAGGTTCTTTGGGGTTTTCCAACCTTCGGCGTGTCAGTCTTGGCCAGATCTTTTTGGGGCGTGAAATGATGACCCAAAACCACTGAAAACAGGCGGTCATTTAACGCAAACGATATGAAGATACCCATAAATCCTATGTATTGGAATCTGTTCCCTTCATTTTTGGGAGGTTGGATGGAACTGTTCAATGTATCCTAGAGCTGTTTGATGTATGATTTGAATGCGCGACCCTAAAAGTGATTTAGATGCTACCAAAATGGTACCTGGTACCCCCAAATCAACAGCCCAGGGCTGAAGAAAGATTGGGGATCGACATCAATGAAATCTTCAAAATGGAAACACACCACTGTCCAATCTACGAAAAAATCAGACTAATTGGACCTGTTTCACATTCTGATCTGATACTGAATTTTTATATGTCCTCATCCTCCTCCTCATCACCACCACCACCACCACCACCACCATGACCACCACCACCACCACCACCTCCACCCACTTTTCCGATGAAAATGGCTATAGTTATTGGAGAATTCAGCCTCCGTTTCAGCCCAGGGCAGCGGAGATGGCGAATGGACTGCACCCGCGACACGTCATCGGCAGCTCAGTGTGCCTTGGAACGCGAACGCGGAGCAACGCGGAGCAGGGAGCGATGGCATGGTGCCCTGGAAGAAGAGGGAGAGCTTTAAATGGGGATAGAATTACTACCCTAATATAAATGGGGGTTTCCTAAAATTGGGGTACACCCAAATCACATTTTGGGGTACCCTAAGCTGGGAAAAAGAGCTGCGCATGTTCAACTGGAAAGACATCCGACAAATTTCAAAAAGTCAAAAAGTGAAAAGTCAAAAAGTATACTTTTCGACTTTTCGACTTTTCAATTTTTCGAAATTCAAAAAGATGGGAAACTGAAAATGGGGATATGTTGGGATACTGAATATTCAATCAAAAGGTCCTACACTTGTAGGGATTGCACAGTGGGATGGCCATCCTTGTTTCAAAATCATTCCTCCCTAAAGTATTGGTGTTTCGGAGTTTGCCATTCTGTATTTTTGTTTTGGCTAAAGAAATGGAGAAATGGTGTCAATTTTTGTTGGTGGTTCATATGTGATTTTTCTGTGGAGTTGCTGGATTGGTGATGGAACCCAATGCTCCACATAAAGTCGATTGAGGCAATTTCCTAAATGGATATACAGTTATATAATTAACCATTATGATGACTGAAAAAATCCATTGTCACTGGATCGTTCACTGTAGATATTACCCACTTATACAAACGGCTTCTGTTTGGATGGTTTATTAACTCATCCCTTCCCCCTGAACCCTGGCGAACTGGGTCTATTCATGAATTGAGATTCCTTATTGCGAGTAGTTAGTGTGTTTATTATTGTTAAAGTTATACCTCATTCTATTCATTGTCTCCAAGAAAGTTATTTCCATTAAACTTAGGGATATGATATAATCATACAAAATCAATATGGGGTTTTGATCTCGTTTCTTTCGATCTATCACTGAAGATATCATCATCTTCAACGGCTGCGTCTCCATTTTCATTGTCTAAGTCTACATCTCATCCTGTGATTCTCCTTTTCGTGGAATGTGAGAGCCGGGTGTTGAGGTTTGTGAACCTCGCGTGTTTCTACGCTGAGTGCAAGCGGGACAACGACATGGCGATCTCGGTTTCGCGGTTGACGACATGGCTTCAGAGAGGCCCGCCATAGGTGACGACATGGATTTAATTTCAGAGGCAATAGGGGATATGTACATGACATACTGTAGTAATCTGTCGTCATCTGTAGTCATCTGGAGTATAGATATAGAATTTAATTCTGTAGCTCCGAGTCACTGAGGTTTGCAAAGATGGCAAGGTGTGGGGTACCCGGCACAGTGATCGCGTGCCCACCGCTGGTGGCTCGGACGGATGTGCAGATATGAGAATAGTATGATGGGTATATATATATATACATATGTATATGTATATAATATATATACATGTGTATATATATATATATATGTATATATATATGTATATATATACATATGTATATATATATATACATACATACACATATTAGTGTACATATTAAGAACATATTAAGAATGTTCTATTAGACATTGCACTGGGAAAATCTGCCACGTGATGTTCCCTGGATCCGAGGTGAGATCTTTGGCTTCACCCTTCTAGCCGCTGGGAACCCACTGGATGGGAGATGGGGGACCAAAACAAGCTATTTCTGGGTGCTCATCCAGAAATAGGATGGTTTTTGAAGCAACAAATACTCTCAATTTTGCTGGCGACATTTTTTTTCCCGGCTTCTCAGCGAGTTCAAGTTGGTGGATTCCGAAGAATCAAATACACACGGTCTTGCAATCTAACCGGACAATGGAGCATCCCCAATCTTCATTGGAAAGCAAATGAACATCATGTACTTAGACATTTTCTGTTGCCAGGTTTGATTGCTTGCCATGTCCAGATCATTCTCCTTCGGTGGTTGGGATTAGGCAGGCGTCATGGCAAAGCCACGACGAGAATAAACCGTCAGCTGACTGGGTCCATGATGGGAGCAGGCAGTTTTCTCTTCTCAGTCTGAAAGAGGCAATTGGTCTTGGGCAAAATGGCTTTCTTTGAAGATAGGGTAGCCTAACATTTTAAAATCCCAGGGATTATGATCATTTTCCTGTTAGATTTTGGACAAGCCCCAAACGTTTGGTTGGTCATCCGCATGTTTGCCCGAGCTCTTTCTCCAGCTGCCTAGGAACGGAACCTTGAGGCCTTGGAAAGCGACTCTGGCCATGGCTTGGTCAAGGTTTCCCTTGGAAGGTTCAATGGGGAGGGATCAAAACCATCAAGATCGTTAAAAAACCGCTTAGCAGCTTAGCAGCTAATTATACCAAATTATGCCAAATATAGCAGCAAATTATACTAAATTATGCCAAATCATGCTAATTATACCAAATTATGCCAGATTATTATGCCAAATTATTCCATAAAATTCTACAAAATTATGCCAAATAGAGCAGTTTTATTTATGGATTGAATCAATTTTAAGGTGGTCATTTTGGATTATTTTGATGTGAACTACAGGGTACCACGGTGAAATGACCAGATGTACATTCGTTATCATTATTGTTGTGGTTATGATTATTATTCATGATTATTATTGTTTGCACATATTATATACACACATACATGTGTACAATATATATATAGATACATTATATATATATACATTATGTATATACACATTATATATATACATATATTATATATATGCACATCATATAATAGATATGACGTATGTTGTATCATGTATCATAGATATTATATGTATACGCATACAGATAGTTCTGCTTTAAGGCCAACTGGCGCTGCTAGAGTTGTCCTTCGACGAGGATGAGCTGCAGCTTCACAAGGCGCCAATAGCTGGATGGTAAGTGAAAGTCCTCCAAATTTTATGGATCCCATGGATTGGAACCCCCCTTTTTTTCAGGGTTAGCTATGAAAATTCCCAATTTTTAGTTGCAAATCATCGAAGTGAATTGCCATTTCCATAGCAAACTGTTCTATTACCAGAGGGTCTACGCTGTTTATTTTTTCCCAGTAGGAAATCATGACTTTGGGCATTGGGGGTAACCCCTAATTCATCAACCGTTTTTTCTTTGTAGTCAGGGGTTGACATCATAAACGGTATAAGACAAGGTGGGAAAACATGGTCTAAAAGGTGGGTTTTTGAATAGCGACAAGCTTTTTGAATAGACAAACATAACTTGTCCCATTGATATTTGCGGTTGTCTCAGTATTTCTAACCTTGAAATCCCGAAATGATTTTCATCATTTTCCCAACATTGACAGTTTGGAGTATCTGCAGTATCCCCTATTTTGAGATCACCTCATGTGAGTACCCCCAAGTCATGCTAGGTGTCTACCAGTTATAAGCCCGTGATTGTAAAACCAGTTGCGGCTGGGAGAGGCTGATCAAGCACCATAACCTGTCAAGTTCTTTACAGTAATTCTGTCCCGCAAATATTAGATGTCACCCTTTTTGTGGGTCTCCAAAAGTCAATACCAAACCAGGCCTTTTTAGGGGGGTATTTGATCTATATACCTATTTAATATTGCAGGGCGGAGGGGCGGAAGGGGGAACATCATGAAACGAAGCACAGGGGAACAATCACCAACGAAGACGGGGGATTTCGGGATATCAAATCTTGGAGGGATGCAAGATGGGAATGAGGGAGACATAATGATAATCTGCACAATATCGAACAACAAAAACACTGCAGCCTTCCAGTTGCACTTGGACAGTGAAGCCAACTCCGGCTGAGGGTAAGATTAGTGAATTCAGCCGCAGGAAGCTCTGGGAAGTGCGTGGAAGGAGGAGGCAGTCATGACACATGGTGTGGGATTGGAGCCTTAAAAGGGCCCCAAACCATTGATTCACAACCATGGAAGGGTGGAGTTTGTGGTATCCCTTTGAACACACCCGTAGGACCCTATTAATATTGTCAGGTTAAGACCTCAACAGAGCAGATAGAGGGACCAGATTCATTTTGCCTGGTTTTCGATTCTGCTTTGAATTGGCTTCATTTGTGACGGGTCAGCAAGTTGTACTTCCTCCTCAGTGGAAGCACTTCCGAAATGTCCAGGAGAAGAAGGAGCCGATTTCCCTCCCAGAAGAACCAGCAACTTGGCCACGGCTGTGCTTGGAGCCTGATCCTTTCCAAATCCCTGGTTGGTTTGCGCATCAACCAACCAGGGGAGCATGGCCATCTCTAAGTAGGAACTCTGACAAATTGGAATCTGCCACCTACAATTCCAGAGCCAGTTCAATGTTCAATGGGGTCATATGTTTTTTCATGACTCCAAACCCTTGAGAAATGCTCTATGCAAGGCTTGGACATGCCAAGGTGGACATACGACTTCCACAACACCTTTTACTACATGATCCATTTCCGACCAATAAATGTATATTATATCCATGCAGACATGCACTCCATCCCTCCATCCCTCCATACATGCATCCATTCATCCGTGCATGCATGCTGCATGCAGACGTACATACATATGTATATATATATATATACATACACATGCATATGTGTATATATATATATAATACATACACATGTACATATATAAATATATACATATATATATATACATACACATATACATATCCATATACATACATACATAACATAAGATTACATCACATCACATCACATCACATTACATTACATTACATTACATTACATACATGCATACATACATTACATACATACATACATACATACATACATACATACATACATACATACATACATACATACATACATACATACATACATACATACATACATACATACATACATACATACATACATACATACATACATACATACATACATACATACATACATACATACATACATACATACATACATACATACATACATACATACATACATACATACATACATACATACATACATACTACATACATACATACATACATACATACATACATACATACATACATACATACATACATACATACATACCTACATACCTACATACCTACATACCTACATACCTACATACCTACATACCTACATACCTACCTACCTACCTACCTACGTACGTACGTACGTACGTACTTACATACATACATACATACATACTTACATACTTACATACTTACATACTTACATACTTACATACTTACATACTTACTTACATACTTACATACTTACATACTTAGATACTTACATACATACTTACATACTTACATACTTACATACTTACATACTTACATCCTTACATGCATGCATGCATGCATACATACATACACACGTATATATGCATGTAAATAAATTTACATATACATATACATATACATATATATATATATGCATGTATAGGCATTTGGCATGAGCTCTAGCTTTTGCCACACAGTCAGCAATGCTGTCATGCCAATTGGTACTGCATGCCTCAAGTTTCATACCCTTTTCTGAGGAAGTCAAGGTGCTTGATGAGTCCATCTTTGATCGACCGGGAACCTAGTGACTCCTAGTGGGTTGCAGATCGACGTGGGTATAGGTTTATGAGATATGGACACAAGAGCAACTGCGGAAGAAACCAGTAAAACCGGGGAAAACCGATTTGAAGAAGATGTCTGGAAATGGATATATTCCAAGAACGGATATTCTAAACAAATGGGGTTGAGTAGAAATTTATGAAACTACGAAACCCACCAGCTTACACTCTTTCAGGCCCTGAGGCCACAAGGACAAACACATCTCATCGATGCATTCGCACAAATCCTGAAGGAACTCCATATTGTCTTTTGCGACCCGTTCTTTGGTTTTTGGGTTCATGTTTTTTTTCTCTCAATCAACTGACTCATGCCAGCAGGCAAAACCTTGAAAGAAACCATGTCACACTTTGGGAAGTCTGGGGTTTCTTTAGTTGCCAAGTCATCAACTCTTTCAACGATACTGTGATCCGGGCCTCAGCCGGGTCTCGAGGTGGTGAGGATTGCTTTGCAGATTGGGGTAGCCACGCCAAACTTTTGGCCACCTTTGCTGGGAAGACTGGGATCTGTTCTGACAGGCGCGCTGCACTGCATGGCATGGCATGGCAGAGTGTTACCAGTATGGATGTAACAGCTTAGCATGGATTCCATGGATGTAGCAATGTAGCCATTTGTTCATGTCTGAAAAGGGCCCAAGGGTCCAGGTTTGTGTCATTGCACTGTGGGTTTTCGATTCAGACTGTGTCCTTGTGCAGGAAGCAACCGGACAGCCCGGCCGCAAACCTGGAGGACTCTACGGGCTCATCGCCTCCCAAGGGGCTGCAGGAATGGGCCAGCTCGCTGGCAAGGCAGGTGAAACTGGAGTTTTTCATGGAAGCCAACTGTCGAAATGTCAAATTTCAAACACACATCAGATTTTGGTGCGACCAATAATATATAGTGTACTCACCTCTTGGTGAATGCGAATCCAGGACATGTATACCAACGAGCATGCTGACATGTACAGACTTGGCCCCTCATGGTTACACATTTCGAAATCATCAACATGTCGTTGGCATATCAAATTCGGTATGGTGATTCCAATGTTTTTCGCATATGAAGATGAATTGAGCCAGGCCCAAATTGTGGGTATAGCTCAGCTGGTTGCAGGTCAGTTGGCCTACCACAACTCAGCACGGAACAGCAGAAGGCACCCGTTTCAAGCACTGGGTCCAGGGAGAGATAGGAAGAACTACTGATCCTCAAGGCAATTTTTTTCCCACTTTGCTGGTTTGATGGTGTTTGCAGTGGATACCAGCAATGATATCAGCAACATGTCTGACCCTCGCTGGCCGTGATCTTTGGGCAGTGCGGTTGGCAGCTCACTTTTTCCTTTCTTGGATTCCACAGTTGTGTCGAGACAGCAGAGACCAGGGTGTCATCGTTAGCTCCACTCTGACGCAGGAGTGCAAAGCAGTCCTTCGCTGGTTGAGCTACTGGGCTGCTGGGGGTCATTGCAACAACCAATAGATATCGATTAGACAAATATTGGACAAATGTGGAATATGACCTCAGTTTACCAATTTTTATGATTTAATTTGTGGGATATTCGTCAGTTATAAATATGCTGTACCTATTGGGGATCCCCCCATTTATGGAAACCCCCATATGGAACCCTCGGACCCTGGACCGTTGGCTTTGGTAAGTATGGGTCTTGAGCCGAAGGACCTGAGTTGGGATGGGTGAAAAGATCCTTGAGATTGCTACAGTCTGCCACACAGAATTCCAGCTCTCAAGGAACTCCAATGTTGCGGAGCCAACTATGTTTCTAGAAGGGCATGTCTCAAGTTGAATGGAAGGATTTTCGCTACCTCTTAGGGCATTTCAGGAAGCCTTAGGGCATCCAATCCTTGAAGCAGCTGGATCTTGGAGAGTCTTTGATGCCTAGCAACCAGTGATTTGGCGCAAGGCCCAGGTGGCCCAACCAAGGTGGGATGCCGTGCCATCAACACGTGGTCGATGCAGAACCTGGGACTGGCCGACGGGCGTAGCGGCGTTGCGGCGTAGCGGGCCGGGGTCGAAAGTTCTTGGACCCAGGACGTTGGAGAAGTCGATGGTTTATTTCTACCGGGGATTGGGGGATTGGGGGATTGTGATTTGTTTGGGTATTTCTACGGCAATTCTATGGATAAGGTCAACCCCGGATAAAAAAAAACATGGTTTGATACTTTTTTATGGTACCCTCCCAATTAAACAGCCGTTTTTACGGGGTTTATTAATCCAGGGTTGACATTACAGGAATCCGCCATGGTCATCCCCACCCGAGGATGGGGGGGAAGGTGCTGATCTCATCATGCCACCTGGCTTAACGGGAGCCCACCCGTTGACCTGTTGGGAGATGAGTTCTTTGGGCCATCGGAACAGGCCTTGCCCAGTTACCTAACATGTACCCATGGGTCATCATTTGCATCTTAGGGAAATCATGGGACATCCATATGCCATAGATGCCATAGAGTCAATTCGAAGTCCTTTGCAAGGCAAATGCGATGGGTGAACGCAGTTGAGGTGCGGGTAGGAACTTCCTGAATGACATTTGCATGGTATCCCAAATTTGATCCCCCAATTGAGCATGAGTTGGGAGCCAAAACCAAGTTGAAGTTGGTGGATCAAACGCCTTTGGTAAAAGGAAAGCAGCGTTGAAAATCTGTTTTGACCTATATCCTCTTTGCATGGCGATTCCTCGATTGGTTTGGGGGAAGAACTTCCCAGTTTTGTAGGGAATCACTACAAGTGGAAGCCACAAATATTAGACAAATGTGGAATATGACCTCAGTTTACCAATTTTTATGATTTAATTTGTGGGATATTCGCCAGTTATAAATATGCTGTACATATGGAGGCTTCCTAAAATAGGGTACCGCCAAATCATCCAGTTATAGATGGATTTTCGACTACAACCCATCCAGCTATTGGGGTACCACCATTTATGGAACCCCCCAGATATAATGTATATATAAATATACACATGTACACATATACATACATACATTACATTACATACATACATACATACATTACACATACATACATACATACATACATACACATACATACACATACATACACATACATACACATACATACACATACATACACATACATACACATACATACACATACATACACATACATACACATACATACACATACATACGCATACATACACATACATACACATACATACATACACATACATACACACACACATACACATACATACACATACATACACACACATACACATACATACACATACATACACATACATACACATACATACATACATACACATACATACACATACATACATACCATACCATACCATTACATTACATTACATTACATTACATTACATACCATTACATTACATTGCATTACATTACATTACATTACATTACATACATACATACATACATACATACATACATACATACAGGTTATTCATATAATCGCTTTCCACTTGTGCTGCAGATGCCTAGCAATGGCATGGCACGGAGCACGAGACGCACGGCACGAGGTGGGTTTTCTCCCAGACTTGGTGGTTCATCATGGTGGCATCTCCCACATAGACACAGGTGAAACAGGTCGGTATGATGCCATTGAGTTTGGCTGCTTTAAACATTTTTAAACCATATGTATTTGTTTGGATATTATGTTTTTTTTCAGTTTGGGGCGCCTGGAACTGAGCACAGAGAGTTTCAAGTTTTGGCAGAAGCCACTTGCCAGAACTCTTGTGAAGTCCATTCCTCATCATACATCAACCCAGTGAAATGGGGATGGGTCAAAACCGATTATTACCATATGACTGGGGAAATAACCATCCATCAACCAGCTATGACTTAGGGTACCTAGGGTACCAGGGTTTTGACCCATAACCAAATCATTCTTTGCCTCGCTGGCCCTCCCCACGCTCGATGCCCCATACCCCTAGAAACAGACTTTGTTCTGAGAGGGAACATACAGTCGCTGCTGGGGAAGCTAAGAAGCATGGGTCTGTCAAACTTGTTGATCAATCCATCAAAAGGGTTTATTATTTGAAGGATTTTTTTTTGGTTACCACAGTGCCAGTTACAAGTCGAAAAGGGGGGGGTAGAGGCCCCATGACCCAGCCAGAACTCCAGTGCACAAGTGAAATCACCCGTATATAGACCTGATATGCCCACTTAATCCATGTGACCCATATGTATAGAATATAGCCCCTCATGTCGTGGCATTTGACAGTGATGGCAGGACCCTCTGAGAAGGTCTTTTTGGTGGCTTGCGTGGCACGCTCAGTGGCCGTGTGCCCTAAACCGTGGGACTTGACAAGCCTATATCATCTAGAAAGGTTGGTCGATGATTACCCTTTGGTAATCAACCAGTGGCATGGACAATTCCTTATTTATATACTAATGATTTTTTTCTTTTCTCGAACATGGGGAATTCCATGGGAGTTGTGATATAACCTTTCACCAGTTTGCGCTGGGGATATGGCTTTCCAGCCCCAAGGTTGTCCGTTTGAACACCAAGTCCCGAGATGCGGGGGAACGTCGCGGTCGAGCAGGGATCCCCGGAGTTTTTTTGGGGGCCCAACTGTATTTGTTTGAAGATGAGGCAACCGGAGGTACCGTGAAGTCCAGCGGTTTTCAATGTTTATCAACGTGTATCACCATTTTGCCGGTTGGCATGGCTGAAAATGGTGCTAATTTGCTCCCAGCAATTGCCTTCTTCAGACCCCAGAAAATGCGGGAGTGCCTCATGTTGGGACAGATCCATCAAATTCCATCAAGGAGTGACACATGCCGTGAATTTGAAATAGACTGGGTCTGGTTTCTTCCCTGGTATCCCCATGTCCCTATGATGGCCATCGCACGGAGGAAGCCGTTTCCCCAGAGTCCATATGGGTCCATGTTCGACCAGGGCCGCCTTCGCACCTCGTCCTTGGGAGATACCGGATCTTGGTCGCCATCCTTGGTGGACATGCTGGTGACTCGGCCAAGTTCCGGTTTTTGGAGGTTTTTTGGAGGTTTTCAGGGGGATGAACAGAATGTGGATGGAAAAAGAGTCATCGAGTTGAGCGCTTTTCACTGATTTTCTTGGACTGACATTGAATTCGGATTGTGACGTGTTTTAGTTTTTGTTTTCTTTTTTTCCGAGTCCGAGCGTTTGAGTTTTCGAGCGAAGGAGTTATCTGTTTTCACCTGAAAGGTTCACCTAAAAGGCAAGAGCATACTGCGTAACACCAGTGAGAGTGACAAGCTGTTTAGTAACAATTATTTCGTATTCGCAGAACCAGAGCAAAAGAGTGTAAAGAGGACGGGACAATTTGAAAAACCATGAACGCACCAAGTTTGACGCGAATCTTGATCCTTGATTGTCTGTACCAAAGGCATCCAACTCCCAACCTCTGCATCACGTGCGATCGTCCGCTTTGGTCATATCGAAGGGGTTCGGCCACAGCTTGAGTGGATGGAGATCAGCAGATGCGCTCATATCGGTTTGCACTTACCTGGACTCTTCAATGACTTCAATGACTCTCTTATAAATCGCTTCAAAAACCTCCCGAAATGGTGCTGCAGCGCCGCACCTTTTTCTTTACGCAATTTTGAAGAATGCTGCACCTTTTTCGGATTTTCAGTGCTGAGTACCCCCTCCCTCAAGGGTCATTCGAGAATCACACAGTAGCTGTGGTGGCTGCTCGTCATATGCCTGGAGTTGACACACAAGTGCATGGTCCATAATTTTCCACAGGATCGGACTGGTGAGCAGTCTTGGTGCAGACAGAGTCTATCACCGCATCAATCGTCAAACCTTTGAAGACCCAGGTACTGCACTCTGTTGTTGATCGTCCTTTTCCATCCAAAAAGCGTCCGTTTGCGTCCAAACAGAGGCGGAAAAGAGGTCTTTTAAATGCCGCACATTTTTTTCCCCCTGAGGATGTCAATATATTTGAAGTGTTTAGCTCGACGCACTGCTAAGAATTGGTTGTTTATGATTGAGTTTCCGCCTCCAATTGTGGGATCCCCAAGTGCGTGCGCCTTTTATATTCCAAAAAGGCAAACATTTGAGGGCCAAAAAGAAGGCAATATAGTCATAGTGTAGGGTGACTCCAGGTATACGGCCTCATGTCTATATTAGTATATAATTGTATATAATAGTATATATGTATCTACAATAATCATATAATAAACATAGTTTCATTATAATAATCATATAATAATAATAGTTTCATTATAGAAATAGTATATATAATATATTATATATATATATTGTATATATATATATAAATACATACATTTATGCTACCTGGGGCCAATGCTTTCCATTTGCAGCAAGGCCAAGTGGCCCAAACGTGGAGCTTCAGAGAAGACTCTGAAGTTGCCTGGTCGACGTCGCAGTCGTTGGGTTTTTTTTCTGCGACCGAAAAAAAACAGGCAGTGACTGGAGATTTTTGACCCAAGAAATACTAAGAATAATGGCTACATACTGTGGATGGAAGAAGAAATCCTACACCAGTTGATAGATGGTGAAAAAACTTAATCCCATGAAAAAGGGTTGAAAAAACACTCCAAGGTGGTGCGGGATTTCGCAACTTCCATCCACAGTATGTGTGTATATGAACTGTATGTGTACATATGTTAACAGTTAGACCTTTCCAGGTTTGTGTAAAAATTGGGGGATAGAACATCAAGAAATATGTCAATTTTCATGGAGAAAATGATGAACCAATGGTTTTTTTGAAGCCATGGGAGGAGGTGAATTCTATATCGCTGACCAATGTCTAACGAGCACCTTATACTAAGCAACACTGCAAGTCCTGATTGCGTATTGCATTTGTTTACTTTTTTTTTAAAAATATCCCCATAAACAAGAAATGGGAATTTCAATTCAGGGGTTACACACGGAGGATCATCCCACTTAGTAAGTTTAGTAACGGTGATCGTAAGTCCTCCAAGCTATCCCATTTATCAATGGGTGAAGCAAGCCCAGTTACTAACCAGTGAGGTTTCATGGGGTGATCTTCCAAGTAGGGACTACTCTTCAACGAAGATGGGGACAATTTCACAAAACCAGGATCGACAAAAGCGAAGTCTGCGCAGAGCTTGGGCTTCTCCTTACGGATGATGGTGTGGTCAAGAGGCTCAAAAGAGCAGTATGCGGCATCAACAATGGATTCTGACCAGCAAAAAGAGAACAATATCTCCAACTCTTTGTGTTTTTTTTTTAATTTCATGGCCTTCAGAATCAAAAAGCCTGGGGAGTATCGAGTGCACGTGCAGGCCCTTCACCTTGGAATTGGATCATTCAGATGCAGGACTGGAGATGTTTGAGGTGATGGTGAAGTTCAGCTGATATGGACATCATAAGCATTTTGGTAGCTGGATCAAACAGGCCAAACAAGTCATCTACATGATCCAGTCTTTTGCCGGGGCAATGGGAAATAAAATCCCAGGAATCATGTAGAATGTCGTAGCAAGGCACAAAAAATATCAAAAAAATCCCCAAGGATGGGAAACACATAGTGCTTACTGTACTGTTTTGATGGTAAAATCGCCATTTCAAGTGTACATTCACATTGGATCCAGTGTTTGTATGTGTTCGGAGATTCACTTTTCACTCTTTTTTTGGGATCCTTAATGGGTTATTTTCCCAGTTGCGGGGCCGGTTGCAGCCCCGATTAATGAGATTTGGGTGCAGGAGATACCTTGCAGATGCTTGGAGATTTGGAAGGGCAAAGTTGTTGGGAAGGTGCCGGGAAGGGCTATGGGTTTGTCTGAGCATTGTATATGTAAAAAAGAGCATGAAGTTGCAGTTTATCATCATTTTCGCACCGCCCATTGCATTTTTTGGGGCATCCTTACATCTTTCACGCCGCACAGATCGAATACATTTCAACAGGGTTTTGGCAAGAGGGTTTTTGTTACGATCAGGGACGGGTACGCAAGTAATGGTAAAATCTACTAAGTTGGGTGCACCAACAAACGCCATTGTTGGCACCAAAAACGATTGGTGTCCACCTTGGGCAGCCAAGAGGCGTCCGCATGCTACGCGAGAAGCGTTTAAAGGTGCCCGTCACACTGCGTCTTGATGCGAAGGGGGGAGGTGGCACCGGGGATCTCTATGATTTTTCCCTAGATTGTACATGTATATGTGGTGAAGCAACAATACTTGGAAAGTAGAACTAAGAACATGATTTGGTGATCGTCCCAGATGACTCCAATATTTTTCAACGGTGTTGCAACTACATAGGGAATGATTGACCTAATCAGGCAGTGCAACCAGCAATAACAATACCATTTCTGTGAACCAAGTGGTAATGTTTCCAGGCAAGGACCTGACACATTTGCTGTAGTATACCAGCTTTCTGCTTGATACTTGTCAGTTCGACGTTGCGTGACTTCCAATTTATCGAGCCAGGATATGCCGTGTTTGCTCCGAAAACTGGCACTAAAATCACTAAACGACCTAAATTCAGCACAATTTAGATTTAGGGACACACACACACAGAGTCATGCTTTTTTAAAGGATCGATGTTTAGGGACATCCACAGCCTCTTGCAGAGATCGCCAAAAAAACCATTTCAAGTCAGATTCCGAGATTCCGTCGTTTTTTTTTTTTTTTGGTTGTGTCAGATCGCAAGTCGTTTGAACTAGGACCTTTATTCCCAGCATGAAGGCGAGACCTGGGGGACCTGGGAGGACCTCGATGGTGGATCCTATTGAATCCTATTGCTTTGATGAATTCTGGCTATAGGATCCACAGTGCCAGTCATTATTATACTATGGTCAGTATGGTTGATATGACATGAGTTTACAAGTTTGTTTTGTTTGTAGGGAAACACAGTGCCAGTAGACAGTACAGACTTGTGTATGCGAAAATTTGGATAGATCACAACGACGCCACTGCGACGTCTCTGACATGATGGTTTGTAGATATAAGTATCCCCGAAGGGCCTTATTTCAGGCTATTTATCCAGATAGATGCCGTATGTGTGTGACATACACATTTGCTTCACTATTGGAAAGCAACTTGTTAAAGCGGGGTCATTCAAGAAAACTCCCAGAGCTTCGTGTGGGGGAAAAAATGACAGAGTCGTACGTCGCATGTGCAGGTGAAAAATGCCTATCTCGCATCCTGGTAGCATGTAGAGCGCGACACCCCTTGAGCTAAAGCACGCTAAAGCACGCTAAAGCCTATAGTTTTCCCTGTTAAAATATATATCATATGTAAATTGTAGGCTTAAAATCCACACTTTTCCAGACACACCAAATAAATCATCATATTGTTGCTTGTGTATACCAGTAAATATTCCCATTTAAATCCTACCATATCCCATCCCGTTGAGTCCCTATTTATTGATGGTTAAATCACCCTTTTCAGACAACTATCCATTATTCATTGGTTAAGTCGAGTTAAATCCCAATTTTCAGACAAGTATCCATTATTCATTGGTTGTATCCCATTGTTCATTAGTTAAACTACTACTTTTGATGGTTAAGGCCCCGCCACTTTCAACCTTGGCACAGCCTGGTTTGAGCTTGCTCAGGAAGCAGACGACCGACCCATCGTGGCAAAGACCGACTACTGCGAACGGCATACGAAACTTTTTTCAAGCGAGTGCTACTGTAGATAGGACCCTCCCAAAAAGATATAACGAAGTAAATGACATTTTTCTAGCTTAGTTTTATTATATGATATAAGAATACATCATTAACCATCATTATATCGTTTGCAAAGACATTAAGCAATCCACAAACATTTGAACACACAGAGACATCTTCAGATCCAGCTAAGGACTTTCCTTCGCAGCCATGCTTAGAATGATCAGATAGTGGTTGTAGATCGCTGCAGGTGGCGATCCTCCAGGGTGAGATTTCAAAATCACCAACCAATCCCCTGAGAGAACCAATCCCCTGCTTCATGATGCCAGAGCCTTTGCTGGACACAAAACGACACAATATGACACAATATGACACATGAAGAGTAGATACCTGCGAAATGGGGCATATGCCAACAATTTCTAGCATAGAGCCTAGGTCTTAGGCGGCTGTTTGGCCAAATGGGAGACAACAAATGACGCGCTGATGTTCCTTTTTTTTTTTTAAATAAGGCACCAGGTAAGCAAGTGTTTTTTAGGCGCCACTTTTTTTTTGACCTTGGTGTGAAATGGACGGGGTTCATTTTGACATCACAATGCCTGGACACACTTTGCGTCAATTTCAACACAACTAGGTGCTGTTTCACATGTACGTGTCACCAATATGTGTAACAGTTCTTGGAGCTTCAGGTCAATGTTCAAATTTAGGACTCCAAACAACGACTAAGTGTTTCAGGATGAACATATCCCTTTTGGGAACATCCAACCAAGACATCCATTCTTCATTTGAGTCATCACCAATTCAATTGATTTTTGCTGTGTTAAACACCATGAAATAGGGAATCCTGAGGATAAGTAGGGATTTTAATTCATTTGAATCTACTTTCTATGTTCCTCTGTCACTTCAGGGCGAATAAACTCAGCTTTTCAAGGCCCAGGTCCAAGTGAAGCTTTCATGGCTTCAGTCCAGTTTCTGAGCCATGGACAGGCAGCTTGATGCTGAGACTGAAGCCTACTGAAGAGGAAAAATCCAACAAAGCTAAAGAAAAGGATTATGACTGGATGATACCTCTTCTCATCAAAGCGACTGGATGCTAACAGGGTGTTTTTGCCCCACCCCCAGCCCCAAAACATGAACCCAACCTCCATCATAGCGGGATAACCCTCATACCAGCTTAAACGACAAAAGCCCTTTATCCCCCGTTCGACCAAAAAGTGGTGCCTTTTAGTTTGGCACCAGGCAACCCAGTTTTCTTTCGCAAAAAACAGGAACAGCATGATGAGCAGCAATCTCTCAGTTGTTCCTTCATCTCGGATTCCAAGGAACTTTGTTGGATGGCGCGATAGCCTCTTAGCAGCTGTTGGCTCCATTTTTGCACCAAGATCTCACGAACCCACTGGAGGTTGTAGTGGTACTCCTCACATTGGATAGGTATTGGTAGCTGATCCACCCGAAAGTTTGAGAACTGGTTAAGATATGTTTCATATGCGTGCTTCTAAGAGGCATGTGTGAACATGTGGTTTCAACAGTTTGAACAACCCCCTAATATCCGCGCAAACAACTATGTTTTGATCGCTTTCTGTGTTCATGGTGTGTTGCTATTTTCAAATGACATCCCCGCACATATTTCCAAGATCTCTCATCTCTCTCTCTCTCTATATATATATATATACATACATACATACATACATACATACATACATACATACACACATACATATCTATATCTGTATCTCTCTCTCTCTATATATATATATAGAAAAACACATGTTGCAAATGGTTTCCATCTTTTCATAGATATGTGGGCGAAATATCCAACCAAGAAGTTTTGCATCAGCCATGCTGGTCGCTACATGGGATTGGTGAGGGACTTGTGCCTGTGAAGCGATTTCTGCGTGAGAACGGTTGATTTTTGGGTTTACCATCTGGTTATTTGTTACATAGCCATGGAAAATCACCATTTTTAATAGGTAAACCAGGTAAACCATCTATTTCTATGGGCCATCTATACCATGGCGAACTGTTAGTCATAACCAGAGGGTACCACGTTACTCCCATCCCCAGACTACCCTGAGGCCATAATAACCTGAGACCAAGCCCGAACTTTACCTCCCTGGCTGATCTGGTGGAGGCTGACCAGAAAATCAGGTTTTTCGGCGGTAGGCTGACCAGAAAATCAAACTGATACTCACCAGATACCGTCTGGTTATGACTAACATAGCCATGGTATAGATGGCCCATAGAAATAGATGGTTTACCTATTAAAAATGGTGATTTTCCATGGCTATGTAACAAATAACCAGATGGTAATATCTTTAAATCACAGTATTGTGTTTTTTTTTCCATTGCCCTGGCAGGATTTTTTTTGATCTTGGCATCCCTTTTTTTTCCAACCAACACTGGGTGTTTTTGGAAAGTGGAAAGATCTTTGGCACTGGCCTCAGCCATTCCATTTCACCAGCGCGTAAAAAACAAAAGTAGTGCATGATTCATCTGACCCGGAGAATTTACATCTCAATTTCAAAAGTAGTTATATCATGTTATATAGTTTTATTTCAAGGATTTTTTTAAAAGTGGTTTCAAATATTCATGTTCACCTATAGAAATGGGATGTTTTTCTAAAGACTTTCATATGGATCAGGGGCTCCACCACCCTGCAGGACATCCGCGAATCTAAGCTGCGGACAAAGGATCTGCGGCTGCCCAAGCGAATCCCTGGATTTTCAGCACGACGTGCGCCGGTCTTGGCCATGAACCGTGGGGCATCCCAGGGATGACTGGCAGCCCAGGGATGACTGGCAGCCCAGGGGTGAAACTCATGCTATGCATGGTATGAAGATGTACATTACTGGAACCCCCAGTTATAAACCTACAAAAAACCATAGCTCACCTAGTTTTAAAGCAACGTAGCTATCTAGGGGGCCCAACTTGCCCAACTTGTATTGATGGTTGTTCAACAAGGAGTATCATAACCGAGGTGGTTTTGTGCCCAGAGTCTAAGACCCAGGCACCTACAGATCATTTTGTCGGAATTGCTCTAAGATAGATAGACACACAAAAATCTAAACATATACGTATGTGTATAATAGTTTTTAACCAGGGCCACGCCGCCCGCACTCTGCAAAAGGACTACACATCAGCAGTGCATGAAAAAAAAGCACTAACTGTGGGAAAAAGGAGGCAATCTACTATCACAATTTACGAACAAAAGTTCGTGCACTAACATGCACCCTTTTCGGAGGGAGACAGCGCCATGCTAGGGTGATGTTCACAATGCTGCTGATGAGCGCGCTAAAATCAAAATCAAAACATAAAATTTTGAGATTGAGGAGGCATTCCCCTTCGCCGCACTGTGGGGTTCGTGACCGCTTGCATTTCAAGGCAGAAGGAGTTGTATACGTTGTCAAGAAAGTCAAAGTGTGGAAGGAGGAAAGCCGCGGTCTCCCGGTCAGCCGCTGGCGGCCCCCACGCGTGAGATCAAATCTGAAAATAGATGCAGCAGAATTGCGCCGCGCTGCTCTCAGCAATGGTTGTGAGGTTTGCGCAAAAAGCAAAGACCAGCCGTCCCGCCCCGAACTGAACAAAAACCATCTGAAGCGAGTGTACTCTGGGTGCCCTAAGCCCAGAAAGAAGTTGATTTCGGACAGGATATGCTGCAAAATTCGAAGATCGACCAAGAGGGAGCGTCCATTGAGTTTCCTGAATTGGAGTGGCCATGAAGGGAGAAGAACGGTCCACGCAAGGAGGCAACATCCATTAAAAACTCATCCGCGGCCAGCACCATGTGACAAAGAGCAGCCAATGTGGCATATCCTTAGTAGAACAAAGAAATCTTTAGTAGACAGAAAAGGCCACTGCTCCATGGCTGAAGTGGATCATCCGGCAGAGCTGCTCACGCTTGTGCCAAGACCTTGAGTATGTGCTGTAATATATATATAGATATGCGCACGTAATACATATGTATGTATCTAATTGTATTCATTTGTATCTAACTGTGCTCAATCGCATCTCATCGACCTATCTAATCTCAGCCAACCTCATCAAATCCTTTATACTCCAAATCTACTCCAAATCTATTCTAAATCTACTCTAAATCTACTCTGCTCTACTCTAATCAAAGCAAATCAATTCAATTCAATTCTAGTCTATTCTAATTCCAACTCTACTTCTACTTCTAATTCGATTCTATTCTAGTCTATTCCAATTCTATTCTAATTCTATTCTAATCTATTCTATGCTATACTCTATTCTGTTTGGTTCTATCCTACTCTGTTCTGTTCGATTCTATTCTATTTTCTTCTATTCTAATTCTAATTCTTATCCTTATCCTAATCCTTATCCGAATTTATTCTATTTTATTCCGTTCCATTCCATTCGACTCAATTCTAGTCTACTGTATTCTATTCTATTCCGTTCCATTCCATTCCATTCGGTGCCATTCTATTCTATTCTAAATCTAATTCATGTTCTTATTCTACTCTATTCCATTTTATTCTGTATATATAAATACATGCAGTATGCATGTATAATCATGTATACATACGTGCACCTTGTATACACGTGTGCACTTCGCGTAAGGAACCCCAATAGGCATACCACACATGTGAGCGGCTCCCAAGGCGGATGCAAGTGACTCACCGGGCAACGTTGAACGATGGATCGGCCGATAGTGCGATCAAGTTCTACGGGTTGAGGAGGTACTAAGAAACCAATGGAAACCAACCATTCAGAATGACATGAAATTTAGGGTCATCTGAGTCATCTCTTTTTTCTTCTCGAGGTACCGTGCTTTTGAACATGACATATTTGAATATATTTGATAGATAGATGCTGATGATTCAGATGGCCCCATATGTATTGACACATCCCCATTTTGGTGAACAGGTTCAACGATGGGTGCAGCAGCTCCATTAACGGTTGTCATACTCTTCGTTGTTTTCAAACATCAAGGTATGCATAGAATCCCATGCTCGCAGCTTGGTATGCTTCATCCGTTGCCTGATGCATAGAAGGGAATAGAAGTAATCCCCGTTGGCAATGAAAGCAATCCTGAAGAACCTTTCTGATTTTGTCGCACTCCTTCGATCCGCTAGTCTTTGGAATCAAGCTGACTGCATTTCTCGACGTGGATGGTGACATCATTTGGCTGGTCACATCTGAACCAGAGATCCAAGTAGAACTTTGTCCAACCTACACCGTGCTGATCCCAAACGAACCAATCGTGTACATAAGCGACATAGGCCGCCCACGCTGGAAGCACCAGCATCTGTGGGGGATGACCAGCCCTTTGTGGGTCCATTGACACCCCTTTTTGGATTTATACAAGGGGAGTTTTACTTATGGTTGGTTGGGCACTAGAGGACCAACATTTCGCATGGTGTTGATAGGGATCTTTGCAGGTCTTATTTGTCTGAAAAGCTCCTGAAACTATTCAAGTTCTATCTGAAAATTTTGTACACGGTATATACCCCAAATCTAGGGGCCAATCACAACTTTCTCTTTTGCCACGGCAATTTTGGATATCCCACATTTTGAGACACACCTATCTGGCTACGAGATTTGAATGTCCACCGCCCGGACCAGTAGGTTCCAAAAAAAGAGCAGGATTGTCAAAGAAAATTGCGACTGGTGGCTTTATCCCAAATCTTATGTCAACATTTTAGAATTCTCTATTCCTACTGGGGATGAGTGCAATGATTTGCCTCACTTTTAGGCTCAAAAGGGTTCCCAGAACCAGGCTATTTTCTGCTACCATTCTGAACCTCTTCCCCCGCGTCCCCGGCCAATGTTGCATTGCTTCATGCTGTACCAAAAAATGGTGGGAGGCAAATGATGCTGCTTGTGCACTCGTGGCAGACATAAACCTGATCCTTTGAGACATCCCGATTGTTTGACACCGATCCCAGGCAGTACACTGCGCCATTGCTGGCAAACGCTTGAGGTTAGAACCCATCCTGGGGCAGGTTGAACCAACGGCTCTCTTAAGCCATCCGGCCGCGCAAGACCTCGAGTTAGTTCATTCCAAACGAATGAAGTAAGAGCGTTGTCCAGCATGAAACACACTAAAAGCCCTTGAAAACAGCAAGAGAACAACCAGCTCACAACAGTTTCAGAGATTCACAATCTTCCGCAAGAAAATCATCGGATTCCCAGCTGTGGCCATGGCTTCCAAGTTGGGAAACGTCCTCCTATCCCTGGTGCTGCTTGTAGCACTGCACGGCCTCTCCTTGAGCTTCCTCGGCAGCGGCCCCGCCCGGGTGGAGTCACCCAGGGCTGCCAGGTCGTCAGTAGCACGGCATGCGGAGGATGACAATGAGGTGGGGGGGTTGGGGGGGTTGATGAGGCCTCACTTTTTTTTTGAGAATCTCTCTCTCTCTCTCTCATATATATATATATATATTACATATATTAACATATATATATAATATTATTTGTACAGATTATATACAGATTAAGATCCGAAGCAGAAATCTACATATATATATATATACACGTAAAGATATTGTAGTCTACTATATTACAACGTGCGATCTTATCAAGCTGGTGCTTTAGCAGGAGTGGATGACAAGGTGTAAAGAAAAGATGGTTGAAGATTCTGATATTATTTGATATACTACACTATAATATACTTTACCAAGATGAAACAACATAAAACATAAAGTATATTATAATGTGATGTAATATAATAGGATATAATTATTAAATATAGTATAACATCACATATAAAATCAAATATAAGGCAAGAACATATAATAGAAGACGATATAACTAATATAATATCATCTAATATAGTATAATATGATATAATTAAAAACTATATTTATTTTAATAGACCATATTGTAAAATAATATAACACAATATAGTAAAATATAATATCAAACAATATAATATAATATAATACAATATAATGGAATATAATATAATATAATATAATATAATATGATGTAATATAATGAAATGTAATGTACTGTAACATAATGGAATATAATATAATGTAATATAATATAATTTAATATAATTTAACATACAATGTAAAATATATTGTATAATATTTTGACATTATAAGATAAATATCATATAAGCTCAGATAAGATAAAATATAATATGATATAGATAATATGAAATAATTTGATTTAATATAATATATAATATACAATTTATAAATTATATATATAATTTAATAGGACATATCTAATATGCTTTACTATACTATACTATACTATACAGTACTACAATACTACAATATAATATAATATAATACGGTATAATATCTGATTAATTATAGTATAATGTAAGATAGTATGATATAATATAAAATAACATAGTAGAATATAATTTAATACAATACGCTCCCTCTCTTCCTCTCTCTCTCTCTCTCTCTCCCTCTCTAGATATATCTCTGAATCTCTCTGTCTCTCTCTCTCTCTATATAATATATATATATATATAAATACACACATAAGGGCAATATTGGATGGAGATAAGACGAGAAATGCCTATTTCAATCGGCAGGATCCTGGCTTCTCATGGGAAGGAGAAAAACCCGATTTGCCCACCTCGCCTGTGCCATGGCGCCAGTGGGTTGGTTGCTAGCCTCTGGATGGGATTCTTTCACCCATGTTAGGCTGGGCTTAAACCAAGTGTTTTTCTAGGTGTATGAACTATGTCTATCACGGGAATTTCGGCTCACCGGTGAACATGTAGGTGTCACCTTTGCCAGACTATTTTCCACCCAATTTTGGGGTACAAAAAATCTTAACACATACCCAGTGCCAC